CTTCCTCCAACAAGTCCACGCCTCCTAATAGTGCTGCTCCCTGTGAGCTTATGGGGGCCAATTTCATTTAAACCACTACACCCGAGCAGGCTTAAGTCTGTCCCTTCACCCCAAGAGCCTGAAAGAGCCCATTGTGTCAGGCTGAAAGAAAGATGATCACAGTCAGCATTGGTGGCACATTCTGGCCACTAAATGTAAAGTTATGTCTGGGGCCCCGTATAGACCCTTAAGCCAAGCATAGGGCCCTGCTCACCAATCCTGTGCTCCACAATGGCTTCCATACTCCAGAAAGTACAGAAGCAAGTGCTTTAGAGGCTCTCAGGGATTCTTCTGCATTCACGGCCAGTGTCCATGCCAGGATGCCAACAGGCTAGAGCCCCTCAGGCTCCGGGAGGCCCCAGCAACCATGCTGGTGGGACTGGGTTCGCTGGTGCAGATTCTTAAATGGACAGCCGAGGGGCCACTGTACTTGTCACTGGCAGGGAGCTTTAGGGGTGCAGAGCTGGTTCTTGACTGAGTCCACAACAACCCAGGGGCCCCTGCCTTTGGGGACAGTAGGCATTCTCTTTGCAATCACCTCCCCTTTCCTCTACTCTTCAGGCCTCAGAAGACGGTCACTATCCCAGGTTCATTACCTTTCTGTGAGATTTTGGCTATCAAACAGGGAGAGAACTTTCCAGGCATGGTGGCACACACCTTTAATGCCAGCACTCCAGAGGCAAAGGCCAGCAGATCTCCGAGAGTCTGAGGCCAGCTTGGTCCACAATGTGAATTCCTGGACAGCCAAGGCTTTCGTGAGAGACCCTGACTTGCTGGGGGGTGGAGGGCAGCTTCCTCCCAATGTCAATGTTGTGTAAAGTATTTCCTTCCAGAAGGACTGACTCCTACTTCCCCCGAAGGTGCCTCCCCCTTTTTAATAGTATGGCAATGCCATAGACATTATTTTAGAACTTTGTTGAATTTCCACCTTGTTACAACCTTTGTAGCTGGTGTTTGCCTTCATGGAAGTCTTCTCTGTTTTCTTTTCAGGTCTGTCTACATCCTCCCCCTCACCTCTGCCTCCCCACCCCTCCTCTCCTCTCCCAGTATCCTGACCCTCAAGCCCTTACAGCTAATGTCAACGATCTCCCTCCTGTGCACCCCAGTTCCCAAAAGGATGACTTGGGAAGGCTCACGGAAACGTTGAGGTCACTTTGGTTGAGGTCACATTCTCCTTTGTCATCGAAAACATTCTGCTCCCCCCTCCCCGTCCTTTCAGCTGTCTTCTGTTTCCTTCAGCTGCATTTGCTCTCTCTCACTGTCTCGACCCATTTCTGCATCTGTTCTCCCTCCTCCCCACCCTTGCCTTCCGCTCCCTCCCCTCCCTAAACTTCCAGTCCTTCCTTTCTTTCTTCTCACCCCTTCCCACCCTTCCTTTCCTTCCCCCCTCTCCCCTTCCCTTTCCTCCTTTCTTTTCCTTCTTCTGGGCCCTTTTGTACTAAGCATTGGTGGCACACACCATTTAAGGGACACACACACACACACACACACACACACACACACCTCGCATAGAATGAGTTTACCCTCAGAGTGTGGCTATTCAGAGAAGCAGGCAGAATACATTAATTAATAAGAGCAATGTAATTAGATATGCAGGAGACAGGCAGTGAAAAGAGAATTTCTAGCTAGTGAGTGAGTTAACTCAGGCCAACTGGGCACCTTCTAAACAGAAGGAATACTGTGTCATGCATGGCCATATGGAAAAGCTTGGTGTGTGGAGGAAGCTTCAGTCAATTTTAGAAATTGATGAACCATCGAAGTGAGTGATAGAGGGATCAGATAAGGATGTAATGGATGACTATCCAGGCAGTAAGACCTGAATGGGGGAGGAGGCAATGAATGCTGATAACTGCAGCAAAGCTAGGCTGCCAGAGAGAAGAGAAAGCATGCAGGGTTTGGAGTTCCAGTAGAAGGGACGGAATGCTTGGATTCTGACTTCACTTCTGTCGCCGTGACAAATTCACTGGCCAGAAGCTGAATAAGGGGGAAAGAGTTTGGTGCACTGTCACAGGATAGGATCTGTCATTCAGGGGAAGTCAAGGCAGGGACTTGTCACATCACATACACATTCAAGAGCAGGAAAGTGGAAATGCATCCATGCCACCTGCTTGCTGCTTCTGGTCCCCTTAGCTTTCTTCGCTCTCACACCTTTTCGTGTTGATTAAGAACAGCCATGCAAGCAGCCAACCTGTCTACATAATTCCTTGTAAAGACTGCCTTCCCAGGTGATTCCAGGTCCTGTCAAGACGACTGTTAAAACTAACCAGCAGAGGGCACTGTGTACCTCAGATTGTATCTGGGGCAAATGTGCGCAAGAGTTTGCAGTGAGGACAATTAATCCTCCCTGGTGTCTCTTCCCAAGCTTGCCTCACTAGACCTGAATTCCACTTTGCTGCAGTCACATGCATCAGGCCTCCACTTTGTTACAATCGCATGCATCAGGCCTCCACTTTGCTGCTAGAATCTTGGGGCGTCTCCTCATCTTTTCTCATCCATCTGCCCCAGGATGCTTTCCAGGAAGCTGAAGTTAAAACTTACTGCTTTCCATAGCGTATTGAGTGGGGCCGGGGCCTGTCCCCTGACTGCCATTATCATTGCTACAGCTGACAGTATGTGCTTCCCTCATCCAGCAGGAATACCGACCTCCCTTAGCACCTGACCGTCTCAGGACACTGCATCTTTCTGTCTAAAGCCCCTACAATCGTCACATTCTTCTCTCTACTAGACTGTAAGTCTGGATCAGGGTTGGAGCACTGGGCCAGGGCTCTGAGTTCACCATCAAATACATTTTCTTAGATTTCATACTTCTTTTCCATCAGATTGCATCTCTTTAAAATTAAAGCTCATATCGAGCTTTCTGAAGGTTCAGATTTCGATGAAGTGTGTACTTAGGTCTCACACCAAGGGGAAACAGTTGAGTCACTGTAGCCTCCTACCATCTGGTTTAGAAACGGGATCCACACCCAGCTGAGGAGCGGGGGCCACTCCCCTCTTCTTTGAGCTGTGTGTTCTCACTCTGCTGCCCAAAGCTCACATTCCAGTATTTGGAGATCAAGGAACAAGCATTGTCTCTGGACATTCTCCTGCAGGTGGCCTCTTAAACAGACCATCTACTGAACACTCTGCTGGGTCCCCAAAGGCCACCCTTGCCTAGTGTCCATCTCTGTCTGGCACCCAGGACACCCACTGTCTCTCAGCAAACCCTGCTAAGTGGTGTCCAGCCTCCTTACTCACTGGCCCTCCTCCTCCCCCACCTGCACACTCCTCCTTTGCACCATCTCTCAGGCTGTCCTCCCTGCATGGACCCACCTGAGTCTCCTTTAGAGCCCAGCCATGTTTCTGAAGCTTTCCCGGACACCTTCTGTTCAACTCCATTCCCTTCCATCATTTGTACATCACACTTAAACCTGTGGGTGAGCACATCTCTGAGCTTCCCTTATTCCTTGGCCACAGACTGCAGAATCCAATGGATAAGAGGCAGCTCACAGGCTGGGGCAGCTACCAATCTTCCTGTGCCTTTACTGTCTCCTTGTGGTGGATTGCATGTAGTACATGATTCCGGTGTGTAGGAGCTGTAACTGCCACCAGCAACTCTTTATCCAGACTGTGTAGGTAAGGGGATGGGGCCTTTGTTATCCAAAGGATTCTATGGCCTTATGCTTGTCAGGCTAGACGCACAAACCAGGTCACTCTCCTTTCTTTCCGCTCACCCTTGTTAGAACTTGGGAGACTGCTTTCCCCTGAGAAAATGGACCAGTGAATTCAATGAGGGATTTAAGTTGGCTGAAATCAATATTGAAGATCCTTTCTCCAACCCCACCATATCCTTTCCTTCTGAGCTAATGGAACAGGCTTGTGGAAGGCGTTCAGTTTACCCGGGGCACATGGACACTCACTCTGGACAAGCAGCCTCGGGTGTATGAGCTCCAGTCCTCAGCTGCCCCCACCTGGGAGCCAGGTGAGAACTCTTACTTGTGTCCTTGTGGGTGGTGCCTGAGCATCTCCCCTCCCTCTTATAGAGTGAATGCTAAAGCTACATCCTTAGTGAGTGTTTCCATTTCTCCTCACACAGTCCTAAGACATTGCTTGTCAGAGAAAATTCCCATTGCTTCATGAAGCTCAAAGAAAAGAACAATAAAAAAGGTTTTTTTCTCAAAGAACTGATGGATGAGGAGTCAAAACAGAAATATGTAGCTAGAAATCGTCCTTGGAATTTACTTTTACTCCCAGAAACAGGTGACTCTTCCTTTTATACCATAGAACACTGTACAGTGAGCGGAGCTGGGGCTCTCTCAGCCTGGCAGGACAAAGGAAGCAGGACTGGTTGACAAAGGCAGAACATCCACTTCCAGATGACCCCTTGCTAATGTGAAACCAAGTGGGCTTCCTGAGCTATAAATGGCCTGCTTGAAAATGGAGCTTGTTTCTCTCTCCTGATATTGTAGTAACCAGGAAAACACTCTTAGGTTTTCTTTGCTGTGTAGAACTTCAGCATGGTTTTGTCTCCTGATCCTCGTACAGGAGCTCAGTCCCAATCAATGTCATCCTACGAACATTAATTAATGTGGGGTGAGAAAGAAGTAGTGATGCTGGATGTGACTTTCATGTTGTCTGTGATACCAAAAGGAAGGTGAGTTACTACGTAGTTGTGACAAGAGACAGTTTTCTTTCCTGTGTACTGTGTCTCCACAGCTCCCTCAGGTTGATGATGTCTGGTTGAGCAGACAGGGCCTCTTTCAACTGTGGGTTCTGTAGTCAGCTACTTACTCTGTTACTGACTCTGAACAAGATGTTGTCTGTGACCTGGTGATGCTGAACTGAGGCACCCCAGGTCAGTCATCTAGTCCATGTTTGGGCCCACATCCATGGGAGTGACATTCTGTTTCTAGTCTGACTATGGCCTTACTTGGATATAGAAAGGAAAGCTGTAATCAAGATTCACCAAACCAACCTTCTCTGGATTAGGCATGAAACCTTTTTATTGTTCTTTCTTTGAGCTTCAGGAAGCAATGGGAATTTTCTCAGACAAGCAATGCTTTGGAACTGTGAGAGGGGAAATGGAAACACTGATGAAATTCTAAGTTACAGGAGGCTCTGCTCAGTTCACCACCAGAAACTGAGCCTTTGGTCACAGCAGCTGAGGCACATAGCACACAGCCTGTGTGTCTCTGGGCAAGTGCTCAGGGCAAAAGTTTGGGACTGGGTCAGTGCCTGGCAAGGCTTTGGTGACCAGAAGACAAGTTGGCCAGTGTGTCAAAGGGAAGTGTAGGAGATGGGTTGTGTCTTAGACCCTTTCTGGAGGACCTGACAATTTCAGGGCCATGTCCCTGCCATGCTCACATTACTGAGTCTTTGTGTTCAGTGTCTCCTTGTACTGCTCCACTAGTGACCCGATCCACTGAGAAGTTTTCTGTCTGGCTTCCTCCCAGCTGACAGGTGGCTCATAGCCCAGATCTCGCTGAGCTTTCTTGTAGGAGAAGGTGAACACAGTATTTAATATTGTGACCATATAGCGATTAAAAGGAGGCTGGTAATTGTAGATTGGACGCAGCAGGAAGCTCACAGTTTCCAACAGGAAAGCAAGCCAGTAGAGCAGGGGCAGAGGAAGGCTCCAACTGG